GCCAGCCCCGGCTTCCCAGGGTTGGCCCAGGGTTGGCCTTTGGGCTGGCTCCTCTGTCCCAGGCCTCCATGGGTCACCGTGCCTCCGCCCAGCGTCCCCTACTGCCCACGGCGCTGCCCGCATTCCAGCTTACATAACGTCCCAGGCTCGTACTCCCCTAAGCCCTGGGATTTGGCGACAAGCTCCCCTGGCAGGCCCAGCGTGGGGCCCACCGCCCTGCCCTGGGGGCCGTCCCACACCCAGAGCTGCAACAACACGCAACCCCCTGGGCCAGGAATGGCTGCCAAAGCCGGGCCCCTCGCTCCATCAGGCCGACCCGAGCCATCCCAGGCTCCGCAGTTGCCTGGGCCCCGGCAGCTCAAGTCCCAGCCCACAGGGGGACAGTGTTTGTAGCCCCTGGCCGGTGCAGGGGTGGCCCTGTTGGTTACCGCGTCCTGCCCCCGGACGAGCCTTAGGATCTGCGCCTGCCAAACCCAGGGTTCGGGCAGAGGCTGCCCGAGCCTGGAGTCAGGGCCGCACACGGGCTTCAGAGCCCAGCGGTCCCGCCACCAGCCGTTTCTGGAAATCCTTTTAAAATTTCCACGTTGAGCTGGAGCCGTTTTGGTTTGAAGGATGACAGCACCCAGCAAGGAGCCCTGTCCTGTTCCCAAGGGACAGAGGGCAAAGTGGCGGGGCAGCAAGTTTTCCAGGAAAGGAGTTCACACTCGCTGCGTAAGAAGTACTACAGCCAAAGGCTGGGGGACAGACTGACAGAGTGCTTACATATGGGGACAGTCCAGAAGGTGTCCCGCCAGATAAAATGAACAGGACGGACATTGTTGAAGAAGATACAAGCTACAAGAAACACCCTACACAGGACAAGGACGCCCCGTCCCCTTTAATGTAGGCAGGCACCTGGGGACCTCACGCCGTCCTCCCAATCGCCACCAGCTGCCCCATCATATTTTCCTGAATCTCATTGACGGTGTGAAATCTTTTCCCCTTCAAAGGTGACTTTAGTTTCGGAAAAAGCCAGAAGTCACAGGGCGCCAGATCTGGGCTGTGGGGGGGGGGGGGGGGGGGCTGAGTCACCTGGGTGGTTTGACCTTTCGCCAAAAAGCTCTGCAGGAGACGTGGTGCAGGAGCGGTGCGTTGTCGTGAGCAAGCTGCCAATCAGCAGTTCAGAGCCTCGGCCTCTGAGTCACCAGAACAGCTACCGAGGAGGAGTGTCCAAGCTCCACGCAACATTGGATGCAGATTCGTGGCTCTGCCTCCTCAGTCATTTTGACTATGACAACCACACGGTACACGTGCTCCTGCAGTGGTGTCTACCGCCCCCACGGACAAGCACAGTGACGTGGTCATTGTTCACACTCGCGCATTCCAGCCCACTCTTCCTGGCTGCCAGGTGACATCGATGGCATGCAAACCGTTCTCCTTATGTTAACGATGGCCGCACTGTTTTCGGACGGGCCTCATATGTAAGACATTTATTTCCCTCTCAAGGGTTAGGATGGGTGATGTCCTCCAGACTCCCCCCGCCCCCCCCCAGTTATCATGTCGTGACTGCACGCCGGGCGCTGCAGACCTGTGCTCCCAGCGTCCCAACTGGGTTCCACCGAGAACAATTGTGTTCTCTCATCAGGGGCAGGTGTGTGGGTAACAAAGGGAAAAGGGCGGGGGAGACCAAGAAATCACTGCAGCTGACTCCTAGGGACACACAGGTGGTACGAGTGGGTGCATAGGTGGGTGAGCGGTTGATTGCTCAGCTGGGTGGTGAACTGATGGCTGGAGGGAGGGAAGAAAGATGGGTGGGTGGGTGATGGGTGGGTGATGGGAGGATGGGTGAACAGGTGTTGGAGCAAATGAGGTGGGGGAGTGAGGGAGGAAAGAGAGGACGGCCCTCGCTGCCCTGGAACCCACAGCTGTGGCGCTACGGGGCTCGGGCTTCACAGCACCTGGCACGCAGGCTGTCGGGAGGCGCCGTGAGGAGGGGCAGAGCGGAGAAGACGAGGGTGCGGAGCATAAGCACACCCACTCTGTCCTTTCCTGAAACGAGAGCACGTGTCCTGGCGCAGGAAGAACGAGCCCTCCGGTCACCTGGTGGTTGGGGGGTCTGGGTTCCGAGGTTCAAGGGTCACCCGTTCTGCGGCCCACACTGCTAGGGACTTGCAGCCCAGCGGCCCGATGGCTCTGCGCCCCAGCCCTTCTGTGGGCTGTCCCCCCTTCATAGGATGCAGCTCACACTCTGAGGGTCTTTTCCTCATCCCCCCCCCCCAGCCCCTGAGTCCCAGAGCCTCTCAGGGACACAGCCAGAGGAGATGACCACCCGGGCTCTGCGGAGGGTGTCCCAGTGCTGGTGCTGGGGGCCAGTGTGGGCGGAGATCCAGGGGCCCCAGCTCAGGGTGTCTCCTGCCAGGCCGAGGACTAGTGTGTCTCTCTTGGCCCTCAGGGACCCGAGGCTCCTGTCCAGCCAAGCCCGGAACAGGCTGTCCTGTGCTGTGCACTGTGGCTGGAAGGACGGGGAGAGGGGCCCTGCCTGGCTGAGGGGCCAGGGCAGGGGCAGCGCCAGCCCTGAATCCCAGCCCTGACCCAGCCCAAGGACTGAATTGCACCCAGAAGCCCCCAAGAGCAGGGCAGGGTGTCTCTAGAGAAGGGCTGCTGTTGGCCGGGGTTGCAGGGACAGTGGTGGGACAGTGGCGGGCCCTGGAAGCAGATTAGAGAGACTGTTTAGGCCCATGGACCTGTGTGCAAAGGTGCCCCTCTGGCCAGGGGGGCAGACGGGAGCTCTGGGTGGGAAGAGCCCCAGCCGTGGCTCCCACTCAGTGGCTGGGCAAGGCCTTGCCCTCTGTGTACTGTCCAGGGGGCCACCTGTGTGTGCAGGCGTGTGACTGAAAGGGAGAGAGCAGGACCTTGGTGCCTCGAGACTCACCGGCCACCCCAGGCCCTGCTGGGGGGCAGGGTCCCTGACCACACGCCCCGGCCTCTGCCTCGTCATTCCTGATGTCAGTGGTCTATGGGGACAGTCCTGCCTGGGGACAGGGTTGACTCCAGGGCTGGAGGAGAGGGCTCAGGTTCTGGAAAGTGGTAACTCTCTCTAGGGAGAAGTTGGGGAGGGGCCAGTGGCAACAGAGAAGCGCTGGGTTTGGCCCCATTCCCCAGGGACCTGGCGCCAGCTCGGCCCTCTCTGGCCCTTGGTCCCTGACTAGTAAAAAGGTGTCGGAAGTGGGTCTCGACAGCTCCGCTGTTCCCTGAACCCTAAACCGTCTAAATCTTGCCTCCAGGACTGTAGCCAGGTCCCCACCTGCAGGAAGCCCTCCTGGCTGCACTCCAGACCCCTGAGAGCCTGCCGAAGCCAGATTCGCCCACTTTATCCCGCCAGAAAACTGCGTCTGGGGCTGTTGTTGACTTTCCTGCTAGGAAGCCCCCAGGGTGGGCAGCCAGGCACCCAGGGCAGCTCTGCCAGGGACAAAGGCCTCCTCCCTGGAGCCGGACCCCAGCCACGGTGCCTCCCGCCCACACCTCCACTCCTGCCTGGCACCTCTGAGCCCTGCGGCTCCACCGTCCCCCAGACCTGTTATTCCAGCAGCTTCCCTGCCCCTTGGCCCCAGTGACTCACCCTCCCCACCTGCACCCCGCACCCGGGACAGTCAGCACCCCATCACTGAGCCCTGAGCCCCACTTTCCCAGACTCCGGTGCGCTCCCGCCCCACCCCTGTGCGGCTGTGCCTGGTGAACGCAGGAGGCCTCGGAACTTGGGGTGACTTTCTCTGTCTGGGTGAGGACATGGGGACCCCCGCAATATCTGCTTTATTAGGTGAGACCCCAGCTGCTTTAAACACGTCTCCTGGGGTCTGGGGCCAGCAGTGCCGCAGCCTCCCCAGGCTCCTGCCTGCACCCCTCCATCCAGCTCACCCCCAGGGTCCCGAAGGGCACCTCTGCAGGGCTGCCTCTGGTGGCCCCTTCTGGGAGGGCAGCATAAAGCATTCGGGTGGTACCCTCCGACCCCTCACTGTGACACGGCCCGGACGGCCCCCCACGGCCCCCACGGTTCTTGCTGGCACGTGCCAGGTCTCTACCTGGCCCTGCTGGGTGCGGCAGAGCGGCGCTGTGACCCCAAGCCCAGCGGCAGAAAGGAAACCGGAGGGAAGGAGTGAGAGAGGCCGGGGCAGGGCACTTGTGCTCAGAGGCTGGGCCACCTGTTCTGTCCTGCGGTTTCAGGGGCCCGACTTGGAGCCAGGCCCCCCCCCACCAGGTCTCTTGTGCCAGCCTGGAGGGGCTACTGTCTTGTGGGACCAGAGTGCAATTGCCCCAAGGTGGGCAAAAGCAGCTGCCCGTGAAGGCAGGGCCCCTGAGCGGAGCAGAGTGAGCCCTGAGCCGAGAGGCCCTGGCCCTGGTGGGAGGTAAGGTGGTGGAGACAGGAGAGCCCACTGCTTCCCCTACGCTGAGGGGTCAACTCTGTGCCCCCGTCCTGCCACCTCCATCCCCCTGACTCCTGCACCAACGCCAGGTCCTCCTGGTTCGCCTCTCTTCGGGGACACCCAGCTGCCACACCTTGCCCACCTGCCTGTCACCACCCCCAAGTTCTGGTACCTGAGCAAGACACAGGGCTTCCCTGGAGTCCTTTGCCAGGGTTGACCCAGTGACCCTGGGCCCAGAGCCCCGGAAGTTAAGGCCAGTGGTGACCTGCTGCCCGCCTGTGGGTGGGCACAGCCCTGGGCACCCCTGAGGCACCTGCTGAGACCCTACCCTTGACCCTGAGGGTGGGGAAGGCCAGGGAGCCAGTGGAAGACAAGTGACCCAGGGATGGACAGAGGGCTGGAGGGTGGGAGCTCTGGCTGGAAGCTGCAGGGCCAGCGGAGGAGGCCTGGCAGACCCCCGCCTGGGGGGAGGGGCCAGTGGGCACCGGGTAAGTCGGGTAAGTCCCGCTGGAATGTCCCACCCAGCCAGCCCCGCCCACCAGCCTCCAGGGAAGCTATAAGGTCTCCAGGGAGGAGGGGCCCTGCTCCCAAACTCGCAGGTGTCAGCGAGATGAAGACAGCCCTGCTGCTCCTGTTCCTGCTGGCCGCGGCCACCCGCCCAGGTGAGGGCTGGCGGAGGGGCTGGGGCGCGGGCAGCCCTGGGAGCCTGGAGTGGGGGGCCCTGAGGCTCAGAGAACCCTGGGCCTGCAGGGTGCTCTCAATTCAGAACTTAGAACCACCCCACACCCTGAGTCAGTGGAATCAAGCCCCAGTGTTTAGAACCAGAGGACCCCAGAACGCCCCAGGGCTCGGCGCTCTGCCACGCAGCGCATGCGCAGCTGTCCTGAGATGCCCCCCCCCCAGAGAAAGATAGGAGCCTGGGTCATCTGACCCCTGTCCCTCCTGGTCCTTAAGTCCCCCAGGACAGCCATTCTCCCCACAGGCTCAGCATGGCCAAGCGGGCAGCCCCCGGGGCCCTGGCTCACTCTCAGGTCCTTGAAGGGGCCCAGCCCCTGGGGTGGGGGACTCCAGCCCTCTGGGATGCCTGTGGAGAAGGGGCTCCAAGGCGCCCCCATGGGCCGCTTGCCCACCAGTCCTCTAGCCGTGCCCTGCTCCGGTCCCAGGGCCCCAGGGGACAGAGGCCGTCGCCTCTCCCCTGCTGAGGCTGCGCAGGGCGGGAGCCCCGGCAGGTCCCGGGGGGCCTCTGCGGGCCCTGGCCCGGGAAAAGGGCAGCAGACAGCTCTTGTCCTGCTGGGGACCCAGGCCTCCTGTGTCCCTGAGCGGCCACCCTGGGGCTGGCCGAGCCTCTGACGTCCCCCCCCCTCCCGCCGCCAGCCCTGGCTCTGAAGTGTCACGTGTGCTCCAGTGCCTCCGACTGTGAGAAGGCTCAGGCCTGCCCGCCCTCCTCGAGCCACTGCAGGACCCAATACAAGGGTGCGTGACTCGGGCGCCCCCGGGGTTGGGGGCTGATCCGGGGCGGTGGGGGCAGTGTTGTCAGCGATGGTTTGGTCGCCATGGCAATTGGGGCCGGGAGCCGGGAAGGGTGCTGTGGGTGCCAGCTGGGCGGGGCGTGGGGCCCGGTGGCGGCCCGTCCTGACCTCGCTCACCACCCGCAGTGGACCTTCTGAGAGGGAACCTGGTGGAGAAGGACTGCGTGGAGTCCTGCACGCCGGACACCTACCAGCCCGGCCAGGTCAGCAGCGGCTCCTCCAGGACCCTGTGCTGCCAGTCAGATCTGTGCAACTCCCGGGGGCTGCCCGGCCGTGTGCCCAGCCGTGCGCCCGCCCGCGCCCTGCTCTCCGGCAGCGCCCTGTCCCTGGCGCTGGCCCTGGGCCTCCTCGCCCTCCTCTGGGCGCCCCGCCTGTGAGCCCGGGGGAGGTCCTTTCCCGGGACTTCCACGGCCCTCCCCAGCCGAGATGGGGGCCGGGGGACCCTGGGCTGGCGGCTTCCTGGGGAGGTCTGGGCCAGATCCTGCGGGCTCGGAGAGCCGGAGAACCCCCCCCCCCCATCTCTCCCAGGAGGGGAGAACACAGTTCCCTGGGCAGAGGGAGGGTGGGGACAGGTATTCTGACCCCCCTCTGGTCTTGTATCCATTCTGTTTGGTTTCCCGTATTTTTTTTTACTCAAAACTGCAGAGGAATAAATGATTAAGAACCAGTGTCACCCTGTCTGTGCTGTTCCAGGAGTGGGGGCGGGGAATCCAGCCACACAGGGCCCCAAATCCCAGTGCCAGTCATGCCTGAAACAGCACTGCCACTGCTTCCCTCAGAGGGGACCTCCCTAGGCACCACTTCCCACGTCCAGAGCAAGAGGAGGAGGAGGAGGAGGAGGAGGAGGAGGGGGAGGCCTGAGGAGCAGTGCAGGGCAGGGGGGCTCCGAGGCCCTCCCGAGAGGTCAGACCCCTCCCATGCAGAGCGGTCAGGGAGGAGAGACTGCCCCTCTGCCCCCGAACATCCTCCAGACCTTGGTCCACAAGTCTCCAGAGGCCTCCTTGGGGCCTCCCAGGCTCAGCTGCGTTTTGGAGCCACGCAGACACTGCCCAGCACAGTTGGGGCGGGTCCGGGTATCTTGGGTCATCCCTGCGGCACCTAGCAGTCCCCTTGGCCACCTGCACCCCAGAGGAGGGAGGAGTGCGTCTGTGTGTGAGTGTGAGTAAGTTGAGTGTCAGTGAGTGTGAGACTATTTGGGCTGGGAGCCAAGCAAGAGCCCAGCCTCCAAGGACCAAGATCTGAGTCCTCTGCCTGGGTTCTGGGCCCTCTGCCTGGGTTCTGGCCAACCTGAATCACTGTACCTCTGTGAGCACCCAGGATCCCGCAGATGCCCAAGCAAGTGGCCTTTCGCTCCCGGGAGGACTCAGGGCGGGCGGCGGTCCCACTTCCTGAGCAGCTACCACACTCTCCCCCCTCCCTGTGGTCAGAGTCCAGACTCCCTCCCACCCGCTGGCCCCCTTGGCCAGAGAAGCCTGTGGCGCCCCTACCCCTGGGGACATTGGAAGGGTGGCAGCTGGTGCGGAGGGGTCGGTGGCCTTTGCTGACCCTGGGACAAGTGCTCACCCCTCACTCCCTACATTGGTGAGCTGAGCCACTGCCCACAGTTCCGGTGGGTGCAGCTCCGGACCTGGGTGTGTGCAGTGGTGATGTGGGGCCTTCGCCGCCACTGTGGGACCCCTCCCTGGGGGGCGGCCCACCCCAGCCCAGCACGCCCCTCCTCCGCCGCTCTACCTCTTAGCTCCACCTGCCGAGGGTCACCTGGCTCCCACCTAGTTGTTACCAGTGACCTTGAACCTGGCACTATACTCTCAGAGCCTCCGGTTTCTACCCGGGTACCCACCTGGAAACCAGCACCCCTCAGTGTCACCTGTGCCTGAACTTGGTGCTCTGGGACCCTCTGCAGGGCAGCCAGTCTCTCTCCCCTTGGTGCTCCCAGGAGCTGTGAGCCCCTGCCCCACGCCCACACCGCCACAGCAACATTCTGAGGGGCAGGGCCTGGGCCAGCATGCCCCTCCGTGGCCCCTGCAGAGCCAGGCTTTGGGAGAAGCCTGCCAAAGGAAGGGCTGCCATCTCAGAGTCCCCTCCAGGCTCTCTGGGCCCACTGCCCACAGGTGGGTCTGAATGGCCGGTGACCCACGGACGTGCAGGCCACAGACCATCCTCATTTCTGCCAGTGGGGGGAGGGCAGGGACATCACCTCAGGGAAGGGGAGGGCGCTCCATGCTGGTCCAGCTCAAGACAGGCGGCGAGTGCATCCAGAGCGTCAGCTGGGTCCCCCCACCTCGGGCAGCAGGCTGGGGACTGGGTGCTGGAAGAAGAGGGGTGGCTGCCTGACCGGCGGCCGGACGGTGGCAGGGGTGCTGGCTGAGGGGGTCGCTTTGTTTGGAAGGCTTCCGTCTGTGTGGAGGGCTGCTGGCCTGGAGTCGCTCCTCTGGGACGTCTGATCCTGCTTCAGGGACCCGGGGGTGCTGGCGTCCCGGCTGCAGGGGCCACGTCCCGTAGCTGCCGGGCAGGGTCGCGTGACCTCGGTACTCTCTTTAAGTGCTTTGTAGAGGTCACTGGGACTCTCTTTGTGGGAAGATTATTAACTACTATTTCAAGTACTTAAGACAGAGGGACAATCAGCTTACAACCAGGATGGGGAAAAAGTAAGTTTGCAGTTGTTCGTATGGGAAAATAACACAACAATTCATGAATAGAACCGGCTTTGGCCCACCCTTTATTGCTAGCTGTGCCTTGGAAGAAGTTTGTCCACGTCATCTCAGTTACAGTGTTGATCGGCCTTAATGTTAGTGATGTTTCCTTACCACGCTTTCTTTTCTTTTTCTGCTTTCCCCATTGTTATCCGTTTAACAGTGTGACGACCCATCAGAATGTCCTCTTTGTCCTTCTAATGCTGGTGATGAGTCTCATCTGTCTTCTCGCCTGTCATTCTGGTGAGGGGTTTTGTGGTCATGATATTCTCAGAGAATCGACTTTTAGTTTGAATGATCTTCTCTTTTGTTTGTATTTCATTGATTTTTCCCCTATTTTATTTTCTTTATTTTGCTCACTTTGGGCTTGATTTGCCTTTTTTGTTCTTGTTGCAGAAGTTGTTGAGACTGAAAATGACAAAAAGGCACCTTATTAGCCCTGGCTGGTGTGGCTCAGTGGGTTGAGCTCTGGCCTGCGAACATAAGAGTAACTGGTTCGATTTCCTGTCAAGGCACATGCCTGGGTTGTGGGTCAGGTCCCCACTGGGGGCGCGTGACAGGCAATCACTCACTGATGTTTCTCTCCCTCTCTTTCTCCCCCTCTCTCTAAAAATAAATAAATATTCTTAAAAAAAGAAAAAAAAAGAAACCTTACTAAAGTGTCGTCTGGGGCCAGAAGGGGGCGTTCTCACACCTACGCGCGCGGCAGTTCCGGCAGACGCGTCAATCACAGCCCGAGAGAGGAAACGTCAGCGGGAAAGAATCCGCAGTGACAGGTTCAACAGGAAGAGAGCCCGCAGCATCCCCTGCAGCAAACCGACAGCCCAGCAACTCAGCCAATGACAAACCGGCTAAGTGCGCTTTTCTCCCACGGACTTTCATGCAAACCGATCTCTTTCAACTGCCTCCTTTTTCTCTGTAGAATATTATTCCTTTCCTTTTTTGGATCTGCCAGGTCTTGCAGGTGACCCTGAACAACACGTGTTTGGACCGCGCCATCCTTGAATGCTGAGGGCGGACCCTGAGCTATACTCAGATTTTCAACTGCCCTGGTGGTCTGCGCCCCCGTCCCCCAGGGTCGGCGGTACCCACGGAGCAGGTCAAGGTGAGTTAGTGTCCTCACGCCTCCTTTAGCCTTTCTCACGTTCCGTGTGCGCCCTTCTGTGGGCTCCCCGACAGCAGCGTGGCGGTCTCTGCCTGTAAATCCTGAATTCTAGTTTTCTCCTTTCTGTCCCAGCACTTTTGCCGGCTCCGTGTATCTGGAAGCTCCGTTGGGTGCGTAGACATTGAGGATGGTTATGGCCCCTAAGAGCTGAGCCTTGTGGTCAGAAAAGGCTCCTCTTCATTCCTGGCCGTGCTCTAAAAAAACCCACTTTGCTTCAGGTTCACATGGTCACTCCTGCTTTCTTCCAATGGGCGTTAGCAAGGGAAATCTTTTTCTGCCCTTTGGCTTGTAACCCATTTGTGTTTTGTGAGTGCAGTGGTTTGTCTGAGTTTAAACACAGTACACACTCGGCTCTTTCTCTCTTCAGCCCTCCTGACACCCTCTCCTTTTTAATCGGGTGTGTGAACCATTTCGTGTATCTCAGTGGGGGTGGGCTTAAGCCGTGTCAGTGGGACCCGGTGAGGTCTAAAGCACTGAGCTGGCCACAGGATGGAGGCCGTTTCCCCTTGAGTGCTCTGCCTATGGCCCCCCTAATTTAAGCTTTCTCCTCCCCTCACACGAGCCGATGTGAACTCCGAAACCACCTGCCTCCACCTCCCCACTGCTGGGCAAGTTCCTCAGGGGTGAGTGAGCACCAGTGGGCACTCAGCTGGAGACTTGGGGGTGCTCTGCTCGCCCCCAGCTCTCTCACTGGCAGCTCTCTGAAGCCCCCAGTCTGTCTCCTCTGTCCCCTGCGGTCGTCCATGGCTTCCCTGAACTCCAGAGTCACTGTCCCGGGCGCCTGGGGTGCATGGCCTGAACGCTGTCGCCTGGGGGTGTTCGACATTTCTAGCGTTGGTGGCAGAGCAGTCGATCCACTTCCCACCGATTCCTCGAGATCCAACGCCGAAGCCGTGGGCATGCTCTGGTCTTGCTTGACCTGCGTGCTTGTTTGGTGCCCCGTTCAGTGTGAGCTTATTGTACAAGGGGGAGAATGGCGGGGAACCTGTGGGTCGTGGTGCCGACTGCATTGACAGCCGGGACCCTGGCCTCTCGGGGACCCTTGGCGAACAGGGACCCCCGCCTGTCCCGAGAGATTGCTTACTCAGCTCTGAAGGCTCCGTGCCTGGGGCCTCCAAATGGTACATCTCTTCCAAAGGAAAAAAAAAAAAAGAAATTTTAGGGTCCTTGTTTTCTTTGAAAGGACTGTAAATTTTTATTAATTTTTTATTGATTTATTTTGATTTTTTTCTCTAGAGAGAGAGGAAGGGAGAGAGACACCTGCAACTTTGGTGTATCAGGACGATGCTCTAACCAACTGAGCTACCGGCCAAGGTCTGTATTTTATTTCTCATATTAAAACGAGAGAAAGTATGCTCTGGCCGGTGTGATTCAGTGGATTGAACCAAAGGACTGAAGGTTCGATTCCCAGTCATGGCTCACGCCTGGGTTGTGGGCCAGGTCCCCAGTAGGGGGCGCATGAGAGGCAACCGCTCACTGATGTTTCTCTTCCTCTTTCTCCCTCCCTTCCGTTCTCTCTAAAAATAAATAAATAAAATCTTAAAAAATATAGAAATAAATAAAGAGGAGATTTTAGGGCCTGTGAAAATCTTAAATTTTGCCTGAAACAGAACAAACTGTTAGTGCAGCTATGTAAAAAATTATTTGATATGGATATTGCCGTGGTGGGAGGGGTCCAAACCTGGCTTCGGCGCTTTGTCAGCGCGGAGCAGGATTGGGGACTGAGGCCCAGGGATGCTGGGTGACTTGCCGAGGTCGCACAGCAGGTCAGCAGGGCGCAGTGGGGGCGGGGAAGTCTCTCTGCGGAGCCTGCTGCCGCAGTCACCGCCCCACCCCGCCACGGCGCGGGGAGCCGGGATGGAGGGATGACGCGCGGGGCGGCTGGTGGGCGTGGGGCCCACTCAGCTCCGCGGCGTGGGTGAGTGGGCGAGGCGCCCGCGGCGGCACAGAGGCAAGCACAGGGCGGGGCCAGACCCCCTGGAAATGGCCCGGGACGCGTCAGGGCGCTGCCAGTGCGCCCGAGGGTCGAGTGGGTGTCCCTGCGGCGCCGCGTACTCGCCTGGCAGGGGTTGGCTGTCCGCGACGTCACCGCGTCCGGACGCCAGGGCTGGGGTCCGCGTCCCGCCGGGGACAGAAGCCCGCAAGGGGCGGGGCGGGGCTGGGGGCGGGGCGAGGGCGCGGCCGAAGGAAGTTCTGAGCCGAGTCCGGGCGCGGTCCGGGGGCGGGCCCGGCAGCGGGGCGGGCCCGGGGCGGGGCCTGTGCGGGCTCACGCGCGGCAGGCCCGCTGCTGCGGCGCGGGGTCCGGCGAGGGCCGGAGCGGACTGCTCCCGGGCGTACCGACGCCCGCGCTGTCACACCCACGGAGGGGCCGGCAAGCGGCCGCGGGTGAGTCCCGGGCGCAGCGGGACCTCCGCGCACTGAAGGTCACGGTGGAGGTCACTCGGACACCCACCAGCTTGGCACCTCAGTCTTCGGGGCGGGGTCCGCGGGAGGGGGCTGGAAGCCCGGAGTGCAGGCGGGGCCTTACTCGGGCCTTAGGCGTCCCGAGTGGACACCCGGGAAATGGGTCGTGGAAGCTGGAGCTGTTCTCGGGAACGGGAGTCGGATTGACTCCCCGGGTCTGGGACCTGGGGCCGGAATACCCGGCGGAGGGCGGGGAGTGGTAGTGCAGACCGCCTCCCCCGCGACCCAGAAGGGGGACAGCTGCTCCGTCCCCCGCAGCACACCCGGACTGGGCGGCTCATCCTGCTGTCCTGCCAAGTGCCTTCCCGGAATGCTTTCAAAATGCATCCCGCAGGCTGGATGTAACTCATGGCCGCCGGAAGCTCCCGCAGTGGCCGGTTCTCAGGCCTGAGAGCCAGCACAGGGCTCTGGAGGTCTTCTGGAAGAGGGGACCCCTGTTGGGCCCCATAAATAGCAGGAAGTGGGGGCCCCATGTAGGGGCAGCTCCGGAGCAAAGGAGACGGGGGAGCACTGAGGAAAAACCCACCCTTGGGCCCTGGGTGGGAGTGGGCTTTGTGCAGGCTCCCGTGGGACCCCCGCATGAATAGGCACTGTGTAAAAATGTGGATTTTGGCCTGGCACCAGGGCCCCTCCAGCTTCCCCTTGCCCTGCCTGCCCCTGCAGTCTGCACCACTCCCCTGCGCTGCAGGCATGGGGTTCTCTGATTGCCCGTCCCCACTCCCGCTCCCCTCTCTTCTCGAGACTCCTCCCCCAGGATGCCTCCCCTGGTGCCCCCGCAGAGTGGGTGGCTCCTTTGTCTGCTGGCACCCTGGCCCAGGCCCCTCTCCTGTCTCCCTCTGTGCAGGGCTGCAGTGCCACCAGGAGACCAGGGGCTCCTGGAGGGCAGGTGGTCTGTGCCCCGCCCCAGCCTCACCTGCGTTGAAGCAAGGACCAGCTGCTGCCCACTCCCTACACCCACTGTGCTCTCTGGCCTCCAGCCATGGCGCCCCTGCTCGCCCTAGTCCTGGTGGCCCTGGCGGGCCTACCTCTGGGTGAGATGGAGGGAGGAGGCAGGGAGGGAGGAACAGATGGCGTTTGTGGGCAGGCGGGTGATAGTGGGGAGGAGGCCAGAATTCCCATTGGCCAACTCTCCTTCCGTTCCTCTGCCCTGCGGAAGGCGATGGGACCAGGGGGTCCCACAGGTCTCAGGACAGGCCTCTCCCTGTCCTGAGACCCCTGTGCCCCCCTCACCCCCTCCCGGACACCCAGCCCAGGCTCTGGAGTGCCACGTGTGCACCTACAACGGGGAGAACTGCTTCAACCCCATGCGCTGCCCGGCCATGGTCAGATACTGCATGACCACACGCACCTGTGAGTTGATGGGATGGCCTCACGGGCCTGGGGAGGCCGAGGGGGGCTCCCACCTGCCCCAGAATCCCTTCTGGGAGCCCCTGGCTGAGGGGGAGCTGCCCTTAGTGGCCCTGCGTGCTGGGGTTGGACCAGCCTGGGGCCCAGTGGGGCCCCTCTCGGTCCTAGCCAGCCCCTGCTCTCTGCAGACTACACACCGACCAGGCTGAAGGTGAGCAAGTCCTGCGTGACCAGCTGCTTCGAGACTGTGTATGACGGCTACTCCAAGCACGCCTCCACCACCGCCTGCTGCCAGTACGACCTCTGCAATGGGGCTGGCCTGGCCGCCCCAGGGACCCTGGCCCTGGCCCCCATACTCCTGGCCATCTTCTGGGGCCTGCTCTGAAGTCCTGCCTGCCCTCATTCCCCCTAGGACCCACTTGAGGACAAAGCTCTGAGAGGCACATCCCTATCCTCTCACCCTGCCCACCCTGCCCACCCTCAGCCACAGCCAGGACTGTCCATAAGAGGACCCTTGACCTCTCTGAACCACCAAGGGGCCTCCGTCCCAGGCGGCGACCTTGCCATTTCCAAAGGCTGACGTGGACGCAGGCAGCTGGCCTTGGTGGGAGAGTTTGGTCCTCCTCTGCCCCGCCCCGCAGGGAGATGTGCCCACCTCCCGGGGAGCCCTGGGAGCAGCCGTGACGTCAGGGCCAGGTGGAGGAGGCCTTTGTCCACCAGTGGCCCCAGGCAGGAGTGCTGGACGCGGAGTCACGTAGGACGAGGGTCTCGAGCTCTGGGGGTTCCGAATGCTGCTCCTGCCCAGTGTGGACGCAGCCCAGCGCTTTGCCGAGCAGCTCCCTGCCACCCGCAGCCCTGCAGTGCAGCCCACGCACAGAAGAAATCCCCGCGTCATTGCCCAGGCAGAGCGGCCAGGCCGTGGCTACCCTTCCTCAGGGAGCCCGGCTTTGGGCACGAAGGGTATCTCCTTTACTTGTAAGTAAATAAAACCATGTGGACAACCAGGTCTCCTGCTGGAGCTGAGCACCCAGGCTGCGCTTTGAGTTCCCTAACCCCTAGGGGGCGGGGCCTTCCGCCCGCCAGGCTCCTCCTGCCCCGGAGGCTGTGTCCCTACTTAGCCAAGGCCTGGAGCTGCCCCACTCCGCCCACCAGGGGCTCAGCTGACGCAGAGGTGGGGCTGGGCAGGCCTGCAGGACTGTATTTGTTGGGCCTGAGAACTGACACCGGGCTATTTTGGGCGGGGAGGGCGGGGAGCAGGGTGTGGGTCACCCCAGGTCTGGTTTCCAGGCCCCCCCCCCCAGCCACGCGGAGCGCAGTCAGCGACGAGGGGGCTGAACTGCGACCCCGCCCCAGAGCAGATGTGGTTAGAGAGCCTCGGGTAGCGGGTGAGCGTCCTGGGGGTGGGGGGCTGGCAGCAGGCAGGGTCAGGCCTATCAGAGGAGAGGAGTCCCGGAGGGTCACGCCCCCGCTGGTGGGGCGCTGACCCGCATGCACCTCTGCACCCTCGCTCGCGGTGACCGCCGTCCGCGCGGGCTCGCTGTACGATGCCGGCGGAACAAGGGCGCCGTCAGCTGGCCGTCCGGAGCTGGAGCGAGAAAGTCCGAGCTCCCGAGGTTGGAGATCCGGTGGAAGGCTGGTCTCCCACTGCGGGGCTCGGTGAGGACTGGGAAAGGACCCTGATCAAGCGGTTTAGGGTTCTGAGTGGTGGGTGGCCCCTGTTGAAGAGCCGGTGGGTCTCGCATGAAGTTCCTGCCCGCAAGGTAGTCTTTGCCCCGGTTCGCTCCAGGAAACCGGAGGGTGGAGGGCAGGGGAAGGGGGCGCGGGCAGAAGTCCTGAGGACCAGAACAGGGGCCCCGCAGCGCTGGGGGAGCCTCGGCCCTCCCAGCACGCCTGCTCCCCCTGGTGGTGACGCGTGTGCAGACCGGGCCCTCCAGGGAGCACGATTTCAGCACCAACCGTGAGCCTCCAAAACGCTGGCTAGTCCACTGGGGCTCGCAGTCTAACTGGGAGGGAACCGGTTCCGCAGCTGCCTTCAGAGGGAGGCCTTCACTCCCGCAAACAGGGGAATAAGACGCGTTCTGCCCGGTGCCCCCCAGAGCAGGGGGCGGTGAGCAGGGCGCAGGCTGGGCACCTCACGCCTACTTGGGGTTCCCCACAGGCAGGCTGGGCAGGGGGCCCTGCCGGGAAGATGGAGCAACGCAGGCCGAACCCCGACCCTGGTCCCACTGTGAGCCCTGACACCAGTCACTCACGCGTGAAAGAAAGGGGCCACACACAACCCGAGCAGCTCAGGGGGCCTGTGTGGCAGCCCCCCACACTCAGACACCAAAAGTAACCACGCAGGACGGTCTGAAGTTAAAATGCAGTAACTGAAGGCAGCTCTCGGCGGGCAGTCACGGCCCTGGCCGGCGTGGTTCCCTAACAAGGGGCAGACTTTGCCTCGATCTTGACCTCCGAGGACCTGTCTGCCTCCCGTCCCAACACACCCTGGGGACGGGCACAGCCGCCGCACCCGGGCTGAGGCCACAGATCCTCTCGCTGTTATTATGCTGCTCCTTATTTAAAGTTTTATTTATTTATATTTGGAGATAGGGGAAGGGAGAGAGAAAGAGGGAGAGAAACCTCAGTTGGTTGCCCCCAACAGGGCACCTGGCCCGCAACCCAGGCATGTGACTGGGAATTGAACCGGTGACCTTTTGCTTTCTAGGCCAGTGCCCAACCCACTGAGCCACACCAGTCGTATCATGTTAACGGTTGACTGTTAACTACCCTTCATCCACCTACATCAAAGAACTGTGTGTCTCACCTTTCACTCACTCTCAGGGCCCCCCCACCTTGCTTTCTCCCTTCTCCTTAATGTGTCTGTCACCAGTGGGTTTCGTGTAACCCTTGTCTCCTCCTTTAACTGTGATGTAGAAAATAAGGTGGTAAAAGAACAGAAAATGTAGAAAATGAGGTGCAAAGCCACCATTCTCCACAGCATTGCTCAGTCCATTTAGATGTTACTTTCCGGCCATTGTGGTCAGTTTTGCTCAAATAAAATCACTGAAAATTCTGCACAGGATCCAATGTCTTTTACGTCGACGCCTAGGAGCCCTGACCCTGGTCACTCACCCATGGAGACCTGGCCCCGGTTGCCAGCTGAACACCGAGCCCAAACACTGTGGAGCAGGCGAGGGAAGGTGGGGTGGGGGACTCTCAGCACACAGGTAACCCCTAGACAGGGCCAGCCCGGGCCCTGGCTGGGTCACATCACCCCCCCACCCCCAAGTAGACCACTGAACTTTGCAGAAAGGGTCAGCTCAGGGGCGTGCTCTGGGTGGGAAGCACGGGAGGGGCCCTGCGAGCCTGGGCTGGGCAGGGCTGAGCCGTGACAAAGGAGTCCAAAGGAGTGGGCCGCCTGGAGGAGGAACCTAGGGCGTGTGTGGCCGCTGTCTAATCCAGTCAGCTCACCTGCATCCGTGCCCGACCGCAGCCAGTAAGCGGAAGTGTAAAATCGGGCAGGCCGGCCGCCCCCTGGTCACCCAGCACCCTCAGTGACCTGACAGCAGCTGCCTGGAGCCTCAGCCCCGCACCATGGTGCGGGGGTCTCCAGGACCCCCAGGCTGTGGAGCGGGAGAGCCTAGGTGCCCCACCAGTGCCCACGAGGTTCGGGCCCTCCCAGTCTTGGGTGAAGAGCGGATCTCAAATAAGCTGATCCCTGAGCCCCAGGGAAGCCCTGGGGGGTCCCTGGAGAGACAGGGTTCTGCAGCTTCACAGGGTGCCGTGGGGCCCCGTCTCTGAGTGCCCTGGGTGAGTGGGCCTAGCCCAGGGAGACCATGGCCTTGACCACTCCGCTTGGGCCCCAGGCTGCACTCGAAACCCCACCCCTGGGCTTGCTCCAGCGTCTGTGGGGCTCAAAGCCGGGTGGGACAGGGTCCCAGGCAGACACAGTTTGGGGACAATGTGGTGCAGGCCCCCTAGGGGGGTGGAGAAGCAGTGGCTGGAACCACACCTGACTCTGGACTCAGATTCACTCTCTCCTGTTGGAGGCCAGAGGCCTCCCCAGCAACTTCTGCACCTGCAGCGGCCGGCCGAGCCCTGTGTGAGGGGCGGCCCCATCAGAGATCAAGGCTGACAGGATTAGCGTCCCCGAGTGGCCCCTGGTGCCTCCCCACCCCTCCTGGGCCTTCTATTGACCCAGCGCTTTTCCTTTGTCTCCTTAAGCCTCTGAGTGCCGGTCACTCAGGCAGCCACCTGCCCCCTCACTGGAAACTGCCCCTTCAACCACCAGAGGGGGCGGTGGGCTGGCCCCTGGGGGAACTTGGACCCAGAGCCATGGGACCAGGGATCTGCCCTGGAAGTAGAAGTGGGGACCCAAGGAAGGAGTTGGGGTGGAAAAGCCCCCCACCCCTGCCACTCTCCCAGGCAGCCGGGGCTGGGCTTCCAGGCACTGGCTGTGTAGGGTGTGGGGAGGAAGGTGAAGGGCCCTAGGGGAAGTGTCTGAGGGAACGAGCACTCCCAGACGCTAAGAGGGGGGTCACGAGAGGGGCAGGGAGGGGAGGAATGGGAAGGGGGTGGAGAAGTCCCAGAGAGAAGTGGGACGTCCAGGTGGAGGCGGGAGGGGCCCAGTGGGCGGGGGTGGGGGAGGCTCTCCAGAGCCCTGCCACCCACGGGAAACCAGACCGCGATAATCCGCTTGGCTGAGAGTCTGGTCGCTGTGCTGGGTGTCCACTACCCGTCGGGCAGGCCAAGGATGGGCACGGAGTGGTGGTGCAGGGACGGGACCATGTGGGGCACACGGCTCGTGCTGCTGGTGCTGCTGCTGGCTTCCTGCAGTGATCTTGGTGAGAGGCGGGGGACGGCCGCGGGACCAGGGGGCCGAGAAGTGTGGGGTCCACCCGGCAGGGGGAGGGGAGAGTGGGAGGGGTGGGGAAGCACGGAGGGGCCTGGGGGCAGGCTGGGGCTGTGCCCGAGGGCCATGGTGCAGGGCTGGTGCCGCCAGGAGTTGCTGGGGCTCGGGGTGGCAGGGGGCCTGCGGAGGGAAGCAGATGCTGACATGTGCAGGGCGAAGGCCTGAGAACAGCTGGGAGACACCCCAGCCCTTCAGGGCCCCTCGCCAACCACACAGGGAGCTGGGCCCCAGACCCAGCAACAGCAGTGGGTGGGGGGGCCGGGGGTGGAGGGGCCTCACTGCGTGGGTAGGCTGCTTGGGCGAGTTGGGTGCCCTGTGGGGGTGGGGCACTGCAGCGGTGGCCTGCTGGCTGGGTCCCCGCCCTTGTTAGGACAGGCCCTGCAGGTGCCCGGCCTGCCGCCCGCCCCTGACACTTTCAAAGCTGCTCTGTCCCCACCTTGGGGACTCTCCGCCCTGGGACATCCACGGTTTCATCTGGCGGGCACCTAGGCACTGTTGCCCCCTCAAACCTGGGCCTCTAGGACAGAGGGCTTGGGAGGGGTGGGGCCCACCTGACTGGCTCCTGTCCCCTCCCACCCAGCGGTGGCCCTGCAGTGCTACAGCTGCCCAGAGCCCACAGGGGTGGCCAGCTGTGTCACCATCACCACCTGCAGTGCCAACGAGACCGTGTGCAAGACGACACTCTACTCCCTGGAGCTGGGTCAGTGGGCACCGGGCGGGCAGGGCTGCCCCCAGGGGTCACCACGGTGTGCTGTCCTCCACCCTCTCCTGTGAGGAATCCCTGTGCTGGTTGCCTGTGTGCTTGGTGCATAGTAGGCATTCAGCTGGTGTTGGGGGAACGAAAGGGGCTGGGTCACAGAGCAACTGGGATGGGTGGTGACCCCACAGTGGGTCCCGCAGAGGCACTGAGGCCAGCGCTCCATGCCCACAGTGTACCCCTTCCTGGGGGACTCCACCGTGACCAAGTCCTGCGCCAGCAAGTGCGTGCCCTCGGACGTGGACGGCATCGGCCTGACGCGGCCTGTGTTGTGCTGTAACACCGAGCTGTGCAATGGGGCGCCCGCCCTGGGCGGCCTGGCTGGCCTGGTCCTCGCCCTCTCCACCCTCCTGAGCCTGCGACTCTAGAGCCGCCCGCCCCCCCCCCAGTGTCTTGAAGAAGCCCCGCCCACCTGCACCCGGCTCCTGGCTCTCCTTTCTGTGCTGGGGCCTCCTGCTGGGGTGGGTCTCCACCTGCGTCTCGGGAGCCGTTTGCCTGTGTCCCCCCTGCCCGGCCCCCTCAGCTGTCTCTCCCAACCTGCACCACTGTCCCCACCTGCCTCCTCGAGGCAGTGAGGACGGTCACTGAACCTGGGACAGGCACACAGACCAGGTGGGGCTCTGCCCTCTGGGGCTGCGGAGGCCTGACTGGGAAGTGGGTCTCCACAGGCAGGGGTGGCTTCTCGGAGGTGGGGCATTGGGGCAGGGCCACGGATGGGGGAGAGACTGGGTGGGTAGAGGGGGCACACCGGGCCAGGCGGGAGGGCGGTCTAGACTGGCAGAAGTGGCCCAGGACCCTGGACAGCTCCACGAAGCACCCCCACTGCCAGCCCCTCCGTGCAGTCAGGGGCCGGGTCCCCTGCGTCACGTAACAGAAGGAGCAGAGAGGAGGCGGCTGGCGGAGGGAGTCCCTGAGCACCTGCCACCCACTCCTTAGGTGTCCAGGGAAACCCAGGTTCCAGTGCAGAGGGGACCTTCAATTCACCTTGGACTTGGGCCAGCACCCCCTCCAGACCATCTTCCCCATCACCTGCCCCACGGGCCCCTTGTCCCCAGAGTACAGTCTGGGCCTGAGTCTGGATTGGACTTGGCACTTGAGTGCACAGAGGCGGCTGTGCACCCCCTCCTGGCTGCTGCCCACTCCCACCGCCCCTGGTGCGAACCCTCCCTCAGTCCCAGGCAGCCGGCCCCAGCCCACAAGGTCGGGACGCTGCTCAGATCGCCGGGGAGGTAGGCAGCCTCTGCAGCACACTGCCACCGGCCAGGGTGCTGCTCCACGGCCGAATGCCTGCTGCCACTCCGTCTCCAGCTGCCTGCCCCACCCGGGTCTGTGGAGCCCGGGGAGGGGGTTGGAGCAGGGACACTGCCCACACCCCCACCACTCACCTGCTTCATGTCCTGCGGGTCCCACTTCCCGGTCCTCTGCCAGGGGCCTGCGGAGCAGCCCTCCTACTCATCAGGTCCTCCACCCCCACCAGGAGCTGGGGGATGACCTCCCAAGCCCCCTGGGACCCAAGGACCTGACCCTGGGAACACACTGGAAACCTGGCCCAGGTGTCCCCAGATGGGACTGCAAGGCCCTGGAGCTGGGGACACGAAGGCCAGCAGCTGGAGGGGGGCTGGGGCAACACCTTCCTGGCTTTAGTCCAGCATTCCGGGCAATGGGGACAAGCCCTGCCTTGCCAGTGGCCCCTGGGTTCACAGGAGCCCCCAAGCCTGGACAGCGAGCACCCCACAGCAGAACACACCCCAGTGAGTGTCCGCCGAGTCACTGTGGGGTCAGGGCTTCAGAATGAGGACACCCCCGTACGCTCACGGTTCGGGCCCTTTAATCGTGGGCTTTCTGCACATGAAACGGAGAGTGAGGCTCCCCAGTGGCGGCTGTGCGGCAGGCAGCGGGGAGGCAGGCATGGAGGCAGGCGCCGCAGTGCTCCGGGCTCTAGCGGCAGCGGGCTTCCTGGACGAGGCTGCAGGAGGCAGTTTTGGGAGCAGCGGTTGCACACCCGGGGTCTGGCCCATGTCGCCAGCCCGCCCGGGGAGCCGCGGCCGTGAGGTAGAGCCCGGGCTTCCCTGCTCCGTGCCTTGGAGGCTCTTGGCCAGTTCCTGCCTCTTCCCAGGCCTCCTTGTTCCCGGCTGACAGGTGAAGTCCCAGGCTGGACTGGGTGGCCTTGGCCAGTGTCCCAGCCCTGAGAGCAGCTGCCAGGGTGGGCCACTGGAACAAGGCCAAGAAGACCCCTTCCCAGGCCCAGACCATCTAGAGAGGCAGCACCCCCCCCCCCCCCCCCCCGCCGCAGATCAGCAGCAGTGAGGCAAGGGCAGCCCAGCAGGAGGGTCAGAGAGGGCAGGGCCCGAGCAGGGGCGCGCAGCACAGCCCTGTGGGTGTGCAGACAGAGGGTAGGGTGCCAAGGGCACCCAGGCAGAATCCCACGCCCTGCTCTGCTCTCTCCTGAGTGGCAGGTCCCGACCTGCATCCCGGTCACCCTGCAGTTACAGGAGGCTCACCACCCCCACAGCAGCCCAGTGCCCTCTGGCCCCAGCTGCAGGCCCGGGGTCCCCCTAAGCACCCTTCAGTCAGCCTCCCAGGCCTCTGACCTATCCTACGGACCCTGCCCCGCCCCCGCCCGCGGCCAGAGGAAGTGCCATGAGCTGCGGGTGCTCAGGGCACCCGGACGGTCTCTGAGCTCCAAGTAGTCTCTGGGCTTGGGCTCCTGAGAGCCTGGCTCCCCGACCACCTCCACGGCCTGCCTGCCATGGGCCTCGGGCCTCCCACCTCATCTCATCCAGAGGGCAGAGATGGGTCAGGGTGCCTAAGCTGCCCCATCCCATTCTCAGCGTGGGATGGGTCGCAGAGGGGGTCACTAATGGGGGAGGGGCAGGGGACTGAGCGGGGAAAGGGGGCTAGGTGGTCACAAGGCTACTTCAGCTGGGAGAGAGAGCCTGTCCAGCCCAACCTGCACTTTCTGCCCCCTGGTGGGCAGGGATGAGCAGGCACCTGGCCCAGGCACAGGCTGGGGGTGGGGTGGAGGTCACTGGTGCTTCACAGCGTCGCCGAGCCCACTCTCTGCCCGGAGCTGCTGGCTGCTGGCCTCATTGTAGGCGATCCAGTGCTGCAGGTCTTTCGGCAGCTCCGGAGGCTCCACCTGCAGCAGGGAGGAAGGCCAGGCTGCTGCCGGCTGCCATGGCAACGAGCAGGGGCGTGGCCAGGCTGCTGCCTTCCTACCTCTGCGCCTGTCCCCAGACGCCCCCCTCCCAGGCACCCCCATCCGCATGGGCCTTCAGTGTTTAAACTGCCCTCATCCCAGCTTTCCTCTATCAGGCCCATGTCCCCCACAATCCATGCTGGAGCCCCCCACGTGTCCCCAGAACTCAGAGAGCACCCCCTGAGGCCTTCTGGCTGGAGAGAGTGACAAGCCAGGGAGCACAGAGGGGCCAGAGACTTTGGAGCTAGACAGAGTGGGGGCCGGGGGTGGGGGAGGGCCTGGCTGTAGTTGTGTGATGGGGGGTCAGGTGAGGTTCAGGGCCAGGGCAGAGGGGTGGTGTCAGGGATGAGGCAACAGCCCTCCAGGGAAATGCCTGCCCATCTCAGAGCATCCAGGAGGCTGGACGGAGGGGCTCGAAGATGCTGCCCCTGCCTCCCTGCATACAGGGCAAGTCTGGGCTCCGGCTCTGCTCCAGCCTGGCTCTCGGGAGCACTCCCCACCCAGCCCGGCTGCCCCCTGCAAGGCCACGCCAGCCTTTCAGCAGGCAGGAACCCTGGGCACTGGGCGCAGCCTGCCCCACACTGAGCCTGAGTCTCCACATGGGACTCCCTGGGGCTATGGGTAGAAATCGGGCAACTCCTGTCCACCCCTTGGCCCTCCTGTCCCTGGCTGGGTGTCCGAGGCATCCCTGCCATGCTGTGCTATTGGCCTCCTCACCGCTCACATGGATCTCACCCATCAGCCCAAGGGACCCTGCAGCCCTCCTGACTGCACCGCAGCCCCCCACCCCTGCCACCATGCAGGAAAGCTGCCTCTCCTCTCCGCTCTCAGCCCATCGACTTACAGCCTCCATGGCCACTCCCTCCCAGTCTCCTGGCACATGAAGGGACACAGAGCATCTCTGTCTCCTTTGGTTGTGTCCCAGGCTCACCAGAAATCAAATACCCTGGAGACCATGTGGTGGCCCGTGTGTGGCCTTGAGTGGCTCCATCCCTCTCTGAGCCTGTCCTCTCCTCTGAGGTGGGAAGGGTGGGCCTCCCCCAGATGAGGGGAGTCTGCGTCCCTCCTCTGCCCAGAGAAGGCAGCATCCATCCTGCCTGAGGGCACCCAGCAGTCAGGACAGGCCCCAGCTTGGACAGAGGCTCCGAGAGAGTTTTCAGAAAGTGCCTGCAGCAGGAGCCTGCCCTTGTGATCACAGCTTCGGTGGCCCTGGGCTGTCCCCAGGGCCTGACTCCGAGCTGCCACAGCCGCTGTGCTGTGCTGGGAGGAGCAGGCCCTGGGGAGGGAACACGTCGGCTTCTGTCTCCAGGTAGAAAAAGCAGAAGGGCCTACAGCTCTCCAGGGCTCAGTCTCCCTCCCCCCAATGCCAAATCCAGGTGACAGTGACCCAGCCTGTCAGCTCTAAGCTGTGTGAAAGGGGGTCTCAGTCTCTTCAGAACTCCCAGCCACTTCCTCTCACTGGCACCCCCCCCCCACACACACACACACTGGGTTCAGAACCAAGGACCAGAGCAGGTGGTTCCACAGTCCAAGACACACAGCACTCAATCTGTCGGGAGAGGGCTGTTCTGGGCTTCCCTACTCTGGAAAAGGTGTTGAATTAGCATGGAGCCTTGAGGGGCTGGGTTAAGAAGTGGTAGGAGGGGAGCAAGCACAGATCAGTTACAAATAGTTGATTCGGGAACCCTAGGAGCCCCCAGGAACAACGGCATCCACAAAGGAGGCCCTGGGCCCAGAGGAAAGGGCTGGAAGAGTATGCAGAAAGGCAGGGACACCCCAAGGGATTGGACCTTCACCAGGAGAGGGGGAATGGCCTAGGAGCCCTCAGGGCCCTGCAGGGTGTGCACAGGGAGTCGGGTATCTCACCTTGCGTTTGCACAGGTGCAGTACAATACGTTCCGGGGAGGTGCCCAGCACGTGCTGGCGGGAGCGCAGCAGGGCGCACACGAAGCCATCACGCAGGCTGATGAAGCGCGCCTCCAGGTAGAAGGCGCGGTCATCCCACCCCAGCAGGCGGGTGCGCACCTCGAAGGGCTCCAGCAAGCGCAGGGAGCGGCGGTAGCGCGCACACGAAGCAGCCAGCACTGTGCGCCCCCCGAGCGCGCGCAGCGCCTCGAGCACGCCGCAGCGGACTAGGTGCACAGTACGCGCCACATCAGCCTCCCGCAAGTAGCGCGCGTTGTTCATGTGCAGTAGCAGGTCCAAGTCCGAGGGTAGAACGCGGCCCGCATAGCGCTGCTCTGCCAGCAGGTCGCGGACGCGCGGCTGCAGCAGGCGAGCATACAGGACAGCGCACGGTAGACGCACCAGGTACCACCCGTCCAGCAGCGCGAAGTAGGCGAGCGCTAGGCCCAGCAACGGCACGAGCAGCCCCAGCATCGCGACGGAGCCCGAGACACCGGTGCTTGCCGGTGCGCGGTCCGCTGCTGCCCGCGCCCGCCGGCCCCGGAACCGGCGAGCGCAGCACGGCCGGACCGAACCACTTCAGGTAGCCGACTGAGGGGAGAACGCGCCTGAGGCCGCCAGTATTGTAGGCCTCAGCCCCGCCCCCCGCCGCGGGCTCCCCCATGGCCTCTGTGGTCGGTTCCGACCCGCTGCAGGCGCCTTCCAGAGGCGGGCTGAGCGCTGGGCTGCGCGCGGGGCGCCACAGCAGCATCTGGCGGTCGCGCTCCGCGTTGCAGGCGACGTAGGGCCCGAGGTCGCCGCAGGGTCTCTCCCGCGCCAGCAGCCCAAGCTGGGAGCCTCTCCAAGCCCTCGGAGACTACGACTGGCCCCAGAGATTCCACCCCTGATCCGAGCACAGTCAAAGGGCCCAGCACGCATCCAGTCCTTTCTGCCGGACTTTGCAAGAGAAATGATCACAGCCAGCTTCCAGGGAGGCTCATTGGAGACTCTACTGGAAATGACCCTTCCTCTGCTCGCGACCATCCCGGGACTCTCCACTTCCACATGGCGACAAGTGCATGCCGCGGATTTAGGACGGCTCACAGTCTGACCCCAATCACCTTTTCAGTCCCAGCCAGGAGCCTCATTACTTCTCTCCGCTCACATCCATCCCCACCCCCGAAGATCCTGGCCATCCAGAGCTTATTCCCAAGCACTCCCACCCACTGCCCCTTTACAAACAGCAGCAAGGAACGTCTGGGGTGTGGGGAGGGGAGGCAGCGAATGCAAATGACTCAGCAATGGATTCACAGGTGTCCTGCACTTGGGCCTCAGCCCAATGGACTGTGGCACACGGTCTGCCGCCTGTCCCTTTTCTCTGCAAGCAGGGGAGGGCAAGCCCAGCGCAGCCAGGCCAGCTGGCTGGCCCCCAGGGTTCTCGAGTCACAGTGTTTGCCAGTGGCCTGGCAGGGTGCTGGAGTCCTGGAGCAGGGAGGGGAGGTTAGGTGGGCTCTAGTCCACCCACACAGGGCCTGTGCTCCGTGGTAGGGTCTTAGCCTCCATCTCGAAGGGGCAGCTTTCCTGGGCAGCGCCACCCCACAGCCCTATGCTGGCCTCCCTCCAGTGCCTCACCCCCATTCTTGCTCCTCCGGCCCTGCTCTGTGGCCGGCTGGGGTCTCACCCTGCTGTGGGGCTGAGCCAGTGGGCAGCAGGGCGAGGAAGACAAGCTTCACGGTCACAGGTGGGCAGCGTGAGCCTCTGGGCAGCTTTCCAAGGCTCTGCCTGGCAAGAGGGAGGCTCCACGGCCAACTTGGTCAGTTCCACGGTCAGCAGGTGCCAGAGGACCGGGCAGATTTCAACCTCCAGCTGCCGGCCAGGCTGCACCCTCCACTTCCTTTGTCCTTGTTTCCGCTTCCTGGAGGCGGGGACCGCTCCTCCCACCCTCAGCCACTCCAGGACAGGCCCAGCTCTACTGCTAGCCATTCGGAGCGGCCAGGGAGGGGAGACCGCTACGTTGAGACCCAGCCACCCCTTGAGTCTTGCAGTTAAGGGAGTCCCCCTCGAGCAGAGCAGCGCTGCCACCCTGGGGTTCGCGGTGTGCGGTGGGGTGGCTGGTCTCCTCACAGACTGCAGGAGGCATGAACTGAGGTGTAGGCTGCAGAGAGGGCACCGCAGGCGGGGGCTGTGCTGGTGCTCAGATCATCACTCACCCCAGCTCACACCGCCAGCTGACACTTCTGTGTCACCTGGATCCAGGGTTCAAGGTGAGAAGGCAGGAGCTGCCCGAACCAGGAGGGACCACCTGCCCCTTGGCCTCCCCACACTGCCCAGGGCAGCTGGTCAGTGCAGCCCATTTTCCCCAGGGCTCACTCAGCCTGGCAGCAACCTCCTCATGGCCCCCAACACACCCCAGGCCTGTTTTCAGGGGCGAGTCAAGGAGGAGGGGCAAGAAGGTCAGAGATGCTGCCTCCCCCAGACCCTTTATCTGCGCAGCCCCTGGCCTGGAATGCCCCCCTGCCCTTACTGCCCAGGGGTGTGCGTCCATCGGGCCACCCTGCTGTGCAGTGGGACTGCTGAGCATCGGTTCCCAAACGGGGTGCGCTGCGGCGGTCCGGCCCCAGTGGGTCAAGGGGTCCCACAGGTGAGGGTAGGCGTCTGCGCTGGGTAACAGACGACAACACGCCTCAAAGGACAGTGAAGCTCTGTTCCGTTTATTGCAAGTACAAGCAGGTTTTTATATTTTCATTTGAGGTAGTGATTAACATTTGCAGCATAGCATGATCAGTTATGCAGAAAAAATCAATACAAAGGTAACCAGGAAAAGTATGAAAGTTCTCATAGATACAGTTATAATGAATAAAGATTAGTTTGACCAGGAGAGCCATTAATCAGACAATTAGAAGTCGCTGTATGTACAGAATTTGAATGTCTTCATTGTATATTAAAGTTTCTCAGAATTTATCATGGGGCAAAAGGATACACTAGATTGAGTAGAGGTAATAGGAAATTTATTATAAAGCCTTTGTGATGTCTAATTTAGCTATCTTTTTCTGTCTAAAATGTTTCTCTGTGCACTATAAATTGACTCTCTAGTAACTGTTTCTATGTGTTTAGTTTGTAATAGTTAACCAGCCCTTTTTTAATTTCTTTGCCTGTGCAATTGATATATATTCTTATTCAAGGTAAAGGAGGGGCTGTTACTTCAACAACTTCTAAACATTCAGGGACTATTTCATTAGAGGGGACTTTGTTCTCTGGTCAAGAAATTACTTTGTACAACTTCACTGGAATTACGCGAATCAATGAACCTGAAATATAAATGTCTAACAATTCCACCACCTTTTGATCACCCAAACAAATATGTAACTTGTTTTACTTATTTCTGGTACACTATGGCGGTCCTGATCACCTTAAGTTGCTCAGACCAGGGTAATTTATACAACTTGACATGTTTTCCCTTATGGTTAACAATTATATCACCCTGGCTGTCGTACTCCCCTGTACAAGGGAGAGGGGAATCTGTGGGGATTTGTCCATCCTTTCAGGCAGTTCCGTGGGGAATACTAATGTTTTCCCCTGAACTGTTCCCTCCTCTTTGGTGATTTTCACAGGAATAAGTAAGTACAGTACAATGTTTATATTCAGTAGCAAGAGTAAAATAATTAAAATAAAACAGCCAATTGTTAACCCATTTTGGATGCCACGTTCTCCTTCGGGGAGACGAATTCCGTGAACTCGGATCCTCTGTGCCCGGACCTTGTCAGACAGCGTGGTTGGAAGAGGACCTGGCAGTGTGCCTACTCTCCAGTGGCCTTTTGACAGTGCTCGGAGACATTCCCGGTTGTCCCCGCTGGAGGCGCTGCTGGCTCCCAGAGGTGCAGCCCAAGTGCTGCTTACCATTCTGCAGTGCCCAGGACGCCCCATGGGGGGGGGGGGTCATCGAAGCCCAGCAGGACGCCTCTCCAGCCTGAGCGCCTGGCGGACGCTGCCTGCTGGCCTTGGGCTGCTTGGGACCCGCCGCCCCGCCTCTGCTGTCTCCCTGTGCCGTGGGGGTGCCTGTCCCCCCGCTGTATTTGGAAGCAGGTAGCTCATCTGTTTTCACAAAGTGGACGAACAAGGGGCTGCAGACTGACCCTGACAGGCCCAGCGGAGGCCAGCACGGTGGGCCCTACACACTCGGAGCCCACCGGTAACCCCAGGGGACAGTCCGAACACAGACTTCCCTCTCAGAGCAGATTCCAGAGGGCCGCTGGCAAAGATCAGGGCACAGCCACCGCCCGGAGCAGGAGACCTCGGAGCCCCTCGGTTATCTCGTTCCGGGCATACTACCTCTCCATGTGCTGTCAGTTAGACGGTGGCTGTCCTGTCCCCACCAGTGGGGAGGGAGCTCTCGGCTCTCCACTTGGGTCTCCGTCCAATCCCAGGGTTTCCCACTTTGCTTTCGCCCACCCGCCTCATGTGTCACCTATGGATTCCACGTGACTCCAGCTCATGTCTCCTCCATTGATTCCAATGTAGAAAATAAGCTGCAAAACTACCATTCTCTGGAGCATTTGGCAAAACTGCCATTCTCTGTGGGTCTGGGTTCAGTGCGACTCACTCTGAACCCCTCCTCCCCACTGCTCCGAGATCACCTCCCGGGACTCTAGGCTTTCCTGGTCTCTCTCCGCCCTTCACCTGCCTGCCCAGTCCCCTGGGGCCCAAAATAGCTGGGGAGGGGCCCAGGGCAGCTCACAGAGCTCTGGCCTCCCTGCCCCTGCCAGCAGAGGGGCCAGGCTCTGTGGGGAGCCCCGCCCACCCTGGGAGGCCTGGCCACCAGAGCACTGCCCTGTCCTGAGACTGCTGCAGGGGCCCGCACCTGAACCACGTCCGGCTCTGCCAGCTGGGTTCGGGCTGCAGGAGCTCCCTCGGCCTGAGCCCCTTCTTTGCTGTGAGAAACTCATCATCCAAAGGCCCTCCCCCAAGGACCTAGCTGGCAAGGTGTCCCCACCCTAGGCCTCCAGAACCTGGAGGAGGGGATTGGCTGGGTCTAGCCCCGCCTTCAGGCCAAGGGCTGCAGGCAGGGACAACAGTGCCCTGCCCCAGAGGACACCAGTGGGTGCTCTTCCTTGTCATCCTCTTTCTGACCCCTTCCCTCTCTGCCTGAGTGGACCCAGTCCTTTAGGCAAGGCCAGAGGGTCCCAGAGGGATAGGGGGAATGCTGGGGGTGCCTCATGAACCTTGGGGGTCAGTGCATGTGGTCCCATGTTCACGGGGCACCAGCAGACTGACTGTCACACACAGGATGGAGCCGGCCTTCCTGGGGATGCCCTGGATGTCCCAGGAGACCCCCTGAGGAATGGTCCTGGGCTCCAGTCCCCTGACATGCCGTCTGCCAAGCACATCCACCTGTAGCGTGCCTGGCTGCGACACACAGAACCGTGAGCAGGCAGGCGGGTGCTGTTCCCACTAAGTTCTGGGGTGCGTTGGCGCGCAGCCACCCTGGCTGACGGGGGCTCGAGGCACAAGCAAAGGTCAGGGACGAGGCAACTGCAAGACGGAGCAGGGGCAGGACAGCCATTGCATGGCTGTGGAGGGCCAGAGCCCAGCGCAGCTCCTGGTGGGGGGAGGGACAGAGGACAAGGGTGACTGGGAGGTTTTTCCGCCTCCCTGTGAGGTTTGCCACCCCCGAGTGAGTGGAAAGCCTGGTGGCAGGGCTCAGGCTCAGGCTTAGGAGAGCCGTCTGTGGTGTCTTTTGAAAGCTCCCTGGAGGTGGGCATGAAACCTAAGGGTCTGCGAGTTTGTGGCAGGGGCGCTGGCAGGAGACGTGCACTGCGGAGCCATCAGCCTTTGCTGGTGTGTACAGCCAGCAGGAGGATGGAGGGCCGCCCAGGCAGTGGGTGCAGACGAACAGGACAGAGAGCGAGGAAGGAGGACCAGGGGAGGAAAGGAAGGAGGAGGGAGGGATGGGAGCCGAATTGGTTCCCTGCTGCTGCTGTGACAAATGACTATGACCTTGGCAGGTTCAAACGACAGACATTTATGAACTTGCACTTCTGGGGGCTCCCAGTCGGAGATGAGCTGAAACCAGGTTGTCCGCTGGGCTCATTCCTCCTGGAGGCTGCAGGGCAACTCTGCTCCCTGAGTTTTGCATTTTCCAGCCTCCGCTGTGCCTGTGAGCCGTGGCTCATGGCCCCGCCCTCCACCACGAGGCCCATGAGGCCCCGCTGGTCTGCTGTCCTATCTGCTTCCTCCCTCAGCTCCTGTCGTCCTGTCTCCTCTGACTTGCCCTCCGTCCTCCCTCTTATAGGACCCTGGGGTGACCTGGGGCCTTCCCCGATTATCGGGATACTGTCCCCCAGTCCGGACCCTTAACTTAATAGTATGTGCAAAGCTCCAGTTGCCTCCTGAGGTGACACATTCACAACTTCTGGGAATTAGGACGTGGGACAGTGGGGTGAGGGGGTGCATTGCTCAGCCCACTGCAGTCCGCCCTCCGGTTCCCAGGTTCCCATTTGTCCCACGTGCCAAATATTCACCCCAACTCAAGGTCACCCAAGGTCTCAAGTCATTACAGCACCAACTCAATCTCCTCCCAGTCTCAGCAACCAGACCTATCAAATCTCACCACAGAAACCACCGAAATTAGGGACGGGCGAGGCCCTGCTAAGAAGGGGGCTGGGTGGAACGACGACGGCGCGGCGCTGGACGTCCCCACGGGCGGGCGGGAGCTCGGAGGCTCCTCAGCAAGGCCGTCCTCCTGCAGCCCGCTGCCCGGACTGCCAGGGTCCCGACCGCTTAGACACAGGGCGCCCCCATCACGAAAGCAGAGCCACCCCACGCCCATGCTAGAGACAGACAAGTCGAGGCGCACGGCGCGCCCGGGGCCAATACCGTCCGGGCCCACCCCTGGCCGCCCCGCTTTCTCCATCCCGCATCCCCGCAGCCTCCTGCGATGCCACTGAGAAAAGAGAGCTCCGGGATGCCTAGAGCGTCCCGGAAGTGATGGGGTGTTGGAGGGGCGTGGCGCTGCGGAGGGCTGCGCGCCGGGACTTCCGGCGGCGGTGGCGGCTCCCGGCCGGCAGGTGAGTGAGGCCGGGCCTGGGGAACGCGCGGGTGCCCTCGGGCGGGCAGTGCTGCTGGGAGCGGCACTCCGGGCGCAGGGCCGATCTCTCTGCCACCGCCCCGCAGGGACCCGGGCCGAGCCGCCAGCCCCGAGCGTTCCCTGCAGCCCTCGTTCCAAGGCGGGCGGTGGCGCCCGGTCCCGACCCCCAGGGTCCCGCCTGCCGAAGCCACCAGCCGCCGAGGCACCTCCCTTCCCGGGGAGAAATACCGCAGACTTGACTTTCTGTTTTTCCTTTTTGGTTTGCCCTTGCCCCAGACCTGGCCCCGGAATAAAAACGCTTTCCAGATCAGCCTCCTGCCGCACGCGCACGCCCTGCCTGATACCCTCCGCCCTTGTTCCACGGAGACGGGCCCTGAGTTTGTACAAACCAGACCCTCGAGGTCGCTTCCCAACTCCAGGCGCCCTCCCTGCAGCATGCGCACCCGCTGTTTCGGTCCATTACCGCCCCCATCCTTCTTGCCCCCAAGACCGTCGCTTCCTCGATCTCCAGAAAACTTCTCGAGTGTTTCTCGCTAATAGCTCCTTCTGCCCCTACAGACCGCTGCTACTCCCCTAACGCCCGCGTGCTCTTCTAAGGACTTGGCAAGGTCTACTTGTGTATGCCGGCTCCCTCCCTCCCGTCCCGTCTCTCTCCCCTTCTGTCCTCCCTCCGTTTTTTTTTTTGTTTTCCTCGGGCCCCAGAGGGTAACATGTTCATGGCTGGCTGTGTCCACCCGCCCCGGTGGTGGTGCCCGCCTGCCCCAGGCGGCAAGGCTGGGTCCTCTGTGGTTTCTCTTGCTGTTGTGGTGCCTTTGGGTGGAAGAAATGGCCTCAGAAGTAACATCTGAATTTCATCTTTAGAGGAGGATTTTGCCTCACCAGGCTGTCCTGTGTCGCCCCGCACACACCTGCACGTTCCCCTGAGGCACTGTCCGTCTGGAACGTATCCCTGGTGCCGAGCCTCCGGGACTCCTCCGGCCGTCCCGCCCTTCCTCCGGGTTGTATGTCCTCTGGTTTCTAAGCTGGCTTCACCTCCCTAAAAGTGGATTATGCCTTTACTTCCCTGAGCTCCCCACAGGGCCACCTCCCACAGCGTCACACTGCCACCCTCGGCGGAGAGGGCGTAAGCAGCGTCCCTGTGTGCAGCACCTTTGCCCAGCCTCGCAGACCGGAGATGGTCTGGGAGGGTGCCCCTGTGTGCTCAGAACCAGCTGCTGACCGGCCCCGATTTGTCTGGGGCTCCTGCGACATTTGAAGAAACTTTTCTTTTGAGCTGTAGTCCCAAAGGGCCCCATTTTCGTGCTCCACTTGTGACTTGTCCTCTGGCTGCACCAGCTGCTCAAGTTGGAAGAAGCAGCCAAAAGGAGGGTTTGGAAGGGAGGAGGTGGGAGCCCTGCCCGCCTTTCACTGCGGGGGTGGGGGCATGGTGATGGGTGGCTGGAAGGCAGCTGATCTGCTGATTTCCTCTGTGAGAGAGAGGGGTGCGGGACCGAGGCCAGGCCGTGGGGGGAGGGAGGGGACGAGACTGCCGGAGCAGGCCCCTGCCGAGAGCACCCCAGCTGGGTAGCCAGTGTCGGGGCCACAGCTCTTCAGCCCTCGGTGGCTGGAGGGTGTTGGCATCCCAGGGGCCTGACTGTCAGGTTGCCCTGGGCCAGCAAGGATGCGTCCGCTACGCTCTGCAGCCTGCTCAGTGGTGCAGGGAGGGCCGGGGAGGTTCAGGTTCTTGTGATAGGATGGAATTGTCCAGCTGGAAGGGGCCATGACAGCTCGGGTGGCTTGGTAGAAGCTGGAAAGAGCCAGCTACCCAGCATGCCCGGGGCTGGGCAGAGAGTTGGGCAGCGTGGGCTGTGGGGTCAGTTGCTGGGCAGCTCCTGTGCTGGTGATTTCCCGTCACTTGTTTCGGCTGCAGCTCCCGGTGCCTGCAGTTATGAGGATGCGATTATGGGCAGCCCAGGCCACGCTCCGTGACATTGTTCTTTGTCTCCCTCTGCTTTCCAGTTCCCACTCAGGATGTGTGTGAAGCAGCGCCTCCAGCCCCGGAGAGCGGCACCCTGGCTCAGACAGTGCAGCCGGCTAGCCCCAGCCAGCTCCCGGGGCCCTGCCACTCTGGTCCGTGGTTGAGCGAGAAGCTGCCCCCGTCCCACAGAGAAGGCCACAGGTCTCAGCAGCGTGGAATAGTGTAGGGGCGGTGTAACTCTAGAGAGGTCTAGGAGCCGGCCACATTGCCAGAGTGGAAGACAAGGGACAGCCGAGACGAGAGGTCGCCAGGCCCGGGGAGAGGCACCCAGGATTAGCGGACGGGCGGGCCAAGGTGAGACACAGGAGAGTGGGGGGCGCGGGAGGAGGGGAAGGGGAGGCAAGAGGCTCCCAGCTCAGGCGCGGGTCCCCTGTCTGCCCGCCCGCCCACCTGTGTGGGTCAAGCCGCCTCCTCCACATGGCCTCCAAGCAGGCAGCTGGGAGGGGCCCGGGGGCAAAGCGCAAGAGGGTGGTGCTGACGCTGAAGGAGAAGATGGACATCTGCGCCCGCCTGGAGAAGGGCGAGAGTAGGAAGGCGCTTGTGCAGGAGTACAACGTGGGCATGTCCACGCTGTACGACATCAAGGCCCACAAGGCCCAGCTGCTGCGCTTCTGCGCCAGCTCTGCCTCCAACAAGGCCCTGGAGCGGCGGCGCACCCTGCACACGCCCAAGCTCGAGCACCTGGACCGAGTGCTGTACGAGTGGTTCCTGGGCAGGCGCGCCGAGGGCGTGCCTGTCTCGGGCCCCATGCTCATCGAGAAGGCCAAGGACTTCTACGCGCAGATGCAGCTCACCGAGCCCTGCGTGTTTTCTGGTGGCTGGCTGTGGCGCTTTAAGGCCAGACACGGCATTAAGAAGCTGGATGCGTCCAGTGAAAAGCAGGCGGCCGACCACCAAGTGGCCGAGCAGTTCTGTGGGTTTTTCCAGAGCCTGACCGTGGAGCATGGCCTGACGCCAGAGCAGGTGTACAACGCCGACGAGACCGGCCTCTCCTGGCAGTGCTGGCCCGGCCCGGAGGGCGGGCCAGTGCCCGGGGGCAAGCAGAGCAGGGACAGACTGACTGTCCTCATGTGCGCCAACGCCACAGGCTCCCACAGAATCAAGCCCTTGGTGATCGGGAAATGTAGCGGCCCCCGGGCTTCCAAAAGCATCCAGCACTTGTCCGTGGCCTACCGGGCTCATGGGAATGCGTGGGCAGACAGGGTGGTCTTCTCTGACTGGTTCCATCACATCTTCGCCCCCTCGGTGAGAGAGCACTTCCGAGCCCTGGGTCTGCCCGAGGGCAGCAAAGCTGTCCTCCTGCTGGACAGCTCCCGTGCCCACCCGCAGGAGCCCGAGCTGGTCTCCGAGAACATCTGCACCATCTTCCTGCCTGCCGGCGCCGCCTCCTTGCTGCAGCCCATGGACCAGGGCATCCGTCGAGGCTTCATGAGGAATTTCGTCAGCCCCCCAGCTGCACCGCAGGGCTCCCACCCGCGCCACGCTGTGAATGACGCCCTCTGCAGCGTGGCCTGCGCCTGGGACGCTGTGCCTGGCGCCGTCTTCAGCCGGGCCTGGAGGAAGCTGTGGCCCGCGGCCGCGCTGGCTGAAGGCTCGTCTTCAGAGGAGGAGCCCGAGCACCTCGGAGCCAGGCCGCACGACCAGACTTTTGCGCACATCCCGGAGCTCGGGAGGGCGGCCCGGTCCCGGCCCAGCAGCAGGCTCCATGGGAGCATGGCTGCTGAGCAGGCTGGGCCAGGGCAGGGGGCTGGAGCCGCGTGCCCGGCGCAGGGCCAGCCAGAGCGGACTGAGAAGAATGGCCGGGCTGAGGCCACCAGGGAGGGCGAGGAGGCAGTCTGGGAGCAGGCGGCGGTGGCCTTCGACGCGGTGCTCCGCTTTGCCGAGGGGCAGCCGTGCTTCACGGCGCAGGAGCTGGGGCAGCTGCGAGCGCTGCATGTGGTGTTCATGCGGCATCAGCAGGGGCGGCGGCAGCGTCCCGCCCTCGGGGCCCTGGTCAAGCTGGAAGCCCCCCAGGAGCGTGGGGGGGGCTGTGCCACCCTGGGCCCCGCCCCATCCACCGAGGGCAAGGACTGATGGTACCCGGCAGGGCGGCAGAGTGGTGCTGACTGGTGGGAGCTGCCCCGGGGAGTGAGTGCTGAGGTGCGCAGCCCCTGCACCCTGGGTGACCTGTTACCTGTCCTGTCCCGGGACGTGAGGAGATGCTTTGGAAGTGCCACCAACTGAAAACATCCCAGAGCCTCCTGGCCAGAGCCCGGGACTGGCAGGCAGGTGGTGGTCTGGTGGTTGCTGGCAAACCTTGCCTGGACTGAACACACAGATGTCTCTGTCCCAGCACCCGGCCAGCCAATGGCAGTAGCTGCTGCCCCGTGAGAGGCCAGCCAGCCCAAGACCCCCACTGCCCCTCACGGGGGTTCGGGCTCCTGGTCTGGTGGCTATGCCTGTGTCAGGTGGGCCCCAAGGGGCCGGTCCCTGGGGGCGGGGACTCAGTGTGTGACCTCAAGTCAGCAGAGTCCCTGCTTATGTTTATATAGGCTGCCTGTCACCAGCCTGTGTACATGTCCCCACTCTTGGTGGGATTGCATGTAGACGCATGAGACTGTCCTGAAAGTCCCTCCAGGTTGCCAGCGCGCCCCACCCCGACCTTAGGTTCGGACCAGGATGCGGGCCGCACGCCGGCCTGGTTGAACTGCTTCGCCCAAGCAGGCGGGGGTGTGGGCCGGACTGCCGGTCGCCCCACGGAGGGCCTCGGGCCCGTGCCGTCCCCAGCGTCTCGTCTCTGCGTCCGGAGCCCCACGTCCCCCGGATCCCACGTGTCAGGGTCTTCACGCACAGCAGTCCTGACGAGGCCTTCAGAAGGGGGTCCGAGGCACACACGCCCGGGACGGGAGGCACACATTCCGGTCTCTCGCAGTGACTGGACTTCTGTTTGGGCCATTCACACCGGGGAAGAGTTGGGGGACAGTGGGCGTCCTGGCTGTTGGCGGCTCTTCCTCCGTCTCACAGCCGAACGGCTTCTCCGCTGGCGCTGCCAGGTCTGCAGCCCCCCGGCAGCACGGCCCAGCCTCCTGCACACGTGGTGCTTCTCTGCCCTGGGACTCCACCCCCTTCTCGAAGTCGTGCGGTGGCAGCTGGAGGGACCCACCAGTGTCATCGTTCGCTGTGTGTCCCTCCTGGAGACCGCGGTTCTGTGAGAGCCCAGGGGACACGAGTGTTTCGCAGCTTTCCAGACGCGGGTGGCGCGGCTGCCGGCAGGAGGCCGAGTGGCCGTGCGTCCTGCCCAAGTGCGCGTGTGAAGGCGGGACAGGCGCTCGTGGCCTGAGTGTCCTCGCCGCCCCTGCTGTCAGCGCTTCCTTTGCAACAAGCGCCCTGGCCCCCCACACTGCCGTGTCATCTTGTGTCACTTCCCGACTTGTGCCCCTGCCCCACTGAATCGCAGCTTGAGGTGTGGCAGGAGGTTGGGAGTGGAGTCGGGCACCGCTGCCCGTGCCGCCCGCAGTGGCCATCAGGAGACGGGCGGGTGCTCCCAGCCAGCAGCTCTTCTTCCGCTGGACTCGGCTGGGTGGGTGGAGCTAGGGGAGGGCCGGGCCGGCGGGTCCGCCTCAGCCTGGACCCCAGGCCATGGGCACGTGTCACGCCCTCACAAACTGCTCCTGTCCTGGCATGTTGTGGCCGATCAATAAATGCTGTGGGTGGACCAGCTGCGCAGTGTCTGTCCTTGGGGCTGCTTCCAGGACCGGCTGCAGTGCGTGGTCCCAGCGCTCACCTCCACTGCTGCTGCTGGGTGCTTCAGGGCAAAGGGCTCACCGCTGGAGCTCCCGGGCGGAGGGAGGTCCTCGGGGTGCAGGCGCTGGTTGGCCAGGCCTGCCAGGCCGTCCTGTGAGCTGGGCGCTGGGTCCGGGGAGTGCCTCTGCCCACCTGGTCTCCCTGGGCTTCTTGCGGGGAGCGCTGCAGCCTCCGAACATCCATCCCCCCATTGCTCCGCCCACTGCTGCCCTGTGTCTTTGGTTTGGTGGGGTTACAGCTTCAGACTGTTTTCCCAGACAGTCTTAGGTTGGGTCCACTGGACTGGACGTGACACCAAGAAGTGTGGGACCGGGCCTCTCGGTCACCCTGCCAGCTAGACAGTGGCTACAGACCCTGGAGGGGTTTGTGCTGGTGGGGCAGCAGGGGCCGCTTGTGCCCCAAGGAAGAGAGCTCCGTTAGGCACCCTCCTGGGTCTGGGGGTGTCTGGGCTGGGACTGGTCGGCATGGTGGGTGCTGCCCCCCTCACACAGCCTCACAGTAGCCAGACGGTCGCAGCAGGAGCATGGACACAGGTCAGCAGATGGGTCGCGACATGTGGTGTGGCCAGTGGGTGCCGCCTGGTGGCTCCCCCCAGAGGAGGGGCCCCTCCTGTTCCCACGGCCTCCTCCCTCCTTTCCCCCTCTGGCTCCCTGTCCTGGGGTCTCAGCCGGAGCCTGTGGCGGGCCAGGCTGGGGCCCCCGCCAGGCTGCGCTCCTTCCTCCCCTCTGAGTCAGTCACTGCCTGTGGGGGACGAGCTGTAGTAACAGCCAGCCTGTCGGCAGCTGCTCTAACGAGGACACCGAAAATCTCGTCTGTGGCTCTAAAACAGGCCACTGGCTCTCAGCACTTCTCATCATTTAATTAAACAGCCACTTAAAAGAGCCGGTGGGGTGGGCCTGGCAGGGCGCCAGGTCAGGGCTGTGGCCGCCGGTGGAGGGAGGGGCAGGGCTGGGAGGCCATGGCCACCCCCTGCAGTGGGGACAAGCTGGGCCCTGGCCCTGGGCGGGGCCTCACACCGCTCAGCCCATCCCACCCTGGGGGCCAGCCTGAGCTCCCTGAGAAGGAAGAGACCCCTGTACCCCTCCCTCACCCCGGGAGCCCCAGAGAATGCTCCCAGGTGTCCTGTCTGTGGGGCCGACCCACTGAGGGTCTTGCCGCCAGGGGGAGCTGGCAGAGCAGGGGGGCTGTGGACCCTGCTCTCCAAGGACAGAAGTTCGAGACACACCCACATCCTGTCCCCAGCTGCGCCGCCGAGTCCGAGCTGGGGTTCCGTGTCGGTGCTGGGGATGAGTGTATGACTGATGGGGGGCCTCGCTGCGGGTCTGGGGGCCGGGCGCTGGCTCAGAGCCCTGTCCGGAGTGAAGACAAGATCTGGAATCAGACGGGGATGACGGTGACGGTGTGCATGCGGTCGGTGCGACTGAGCTGTCCACACGAGGTGGGGGGTGTAGTGAATTTTATGTTACGGGCGATTTACTACACACACAAAACATTGTGCAACCCCCAGGGCTGGATGATTGGGACTCGGGGACAGGGCTGAGGACAGCAAAGCCTCCGAGGACAGTGGGGCCACCCAGAGACCGGCTCCAGCAAGAGGGACACAGGGCACAATGTCACCCTGGCCTGTGTGCATCCACCCCCCCAACTCCCCTCCTGTGGCCCCAGCAGACCCAGCTGCCTGGGAAATTCAAGGAGGAAGGGCTGGGCGGGGCGGGGGGTGGCGAGGGCTCAGCTCTGTTAGGGTCAGACTTCCCCGAGTGCCTGCTGGGGGCCAGGCGCCGCTGGAGCCGGCCCTGGCCTCTCGTGGGGGAGCCTGGCGTGCAGCCCCCAGGCTGTGGGCAGCCCCCCTGGGCTGGGTCTACCTCAGACCCCACCACTCTCCCTCCTTGTCCCTTCACCACAAGTATTGAGGTCCTCTCCTCAGACGCCTCCCTGGCCACCCCATCACTGAGGTCCTGTCTGCACCCCAGGCTAGTGGCTTACTGTCTCCAGTGTGCCCACGGTCACCTGCTGGGGGCAGGTGTCCTGTGTCACTGAGGGCCTCCTGGACCCCCCACCCCCAAACCCCAGGCCCGGGGCAGCCTGCCAGCATCAGCCCAGGCAGTGTGGGGCCTCTTGCTCTGGAAAAAAAAAAATGGTTGAAACACACACATACCCACAAGGGTAAGAGGACGGTTTTTAGTCGCTTGGGAAAACGGAACCTGGTTGGGCCTTGGCTCCCATCGGGGGAGACCAGTGAAGACACTGCTGGAGGGTGAGTGGCCCCATTTCCCAAAGTCGCTGTCTCACAGACGGGCCCCAGTCTGTCCGGGGCACAGGTGCCTGTGGGGGGCTGGTGCTCACTGTTCCCGGGGCAGGGGCCGTTGGGAACAGCGGGGGCCTTTTCAGTTCCCTCCTGGCCTGTGTTCCAAGTTCCCGGAGCCTGGAGGAGGGGCCGCCCCCCGGCTGCCGCTGGGCAGGTGCGTCAGGGCCCGGTGCCAGCGTGACGTGCTTCGCGGAGACACAAAGGCCTCCTTCCGCTGCAGAGGAGGCTGGGCAGGTACCTGGGGGTGAGTCAGAGGCCCCCAGCGAGTGGTGAGTGACAGTAATGAGTAGTGTGACGGCGACCGTCTGGCACTCACTTCTGTCACTCTGGGCAGCCCGTGCTAAGGGAGGGAGGGAGGGCAGGGAGTGCAGTGGGGGGCAGAGCCTGGCCCGGCCCCCACCGCCAGCCCGGCTCCCTGAGCCACGCTGTGGGGTCTGTGCCCTGCCAGGCCCCGGGATCTGGGACTGTGTGAATGGCATGGGGGGTGGGGCAGGGCCCTCAACCCACAGCCCCATCCTCGGATTAGCAGGAGAGCCCCGTGTCCTGGGGAAGTTCACAGGCGGAGGGTGCCAGCCCCGGGTGGCTGCTGTTCACAACTGCGGGGGGGCCCAGCCAGGGGTGCGGTGACTTCAGCCAGCTGTCCTGGGTCCCCCAGAGAGACGCTGCTGGTGTGAGGCGGTCAGAGCAGCCAGTGTGGGGGCCAGCTGCTGCTATTCTGCCCCCAGGGCAGCCGGGCCGGAGCAGCTTTGAGGACAGACAAGAAGACCTGGCATGATGGACGTCCCAGTGGGCCCAGCAGGGAGGTGGAATCTCTTGAAGTCGGAGGGTGTCCTGGGTCTGGGGACCTGGAGACACCCTGGGTGGGCAGCAGGTGGTGGGAGTGGCTCGGGGGTAGGTGTGGGCCACCTACCTAGGTAGTTAGCGCCCCTAACTGTCCCCCAGTGCCCCTCACCTTGGGCCAGCCTGCCTGTTCTCCACAGGGGCCCCAGTCCAAGCCGGTGCACCCACACCTGGTGACAATCTCTGTCATCAGCAGCGGCTTCTCTCAAGCACCCTCGTGCTGGGCCTGTGGGTTCAGCCCCTGCTGCCGCCTCACAGGCCGGCACCATTGTCATCGTGGCCACTGCACGGTGCGGTGGCAGGTCCTGGCTGCTGCTCAGTGGGGTCACGTTGAGAGAGCACGTCGGAGCGCAGAACAGGCCCTTCAGCGGTGCCTCCAACTTCGTCAGAGCCCCCCCACCCCAGTTCTCCCAGGAACAGAAACTTCCTTTTAGTGACAGACATGTCTTGGCAGGACCAGGCTCCTCCTACCCAGTGACATGGCACCACCCTGCCGCCCCCTGCCCGGCCCTGGGCTCTGGGAGCTGCCTGTGGCTGCCGTGGTGTCTGATGGTTCCAATGAAGTGGCATCTTCTAGAGACCTGAGGACAGGGGTCGTCCTGTCCACTGGGTCACCCAGGAGGCTCGCACTCCTTGGAGCTCCCCTGAGGCGCTGATCGAGGGGACAGGGGCCACCTGGGTGGTGGACTCTGCCCCTGGAGGCCAGGTGGCTAGTGTGACGCCTTCAAAGCTGTCAGTTCTTCTCTGGTTAGGAGCGTGGGTCCCAGCCTGCCGCAGTCACAGCTCATTCCAGGGACACTTGGAATTCAGGCCGGAGCCAGAACTGTGGACCGCAGGCCTCATGTCAGCGCCTCCTGCTGGGGGCACAATGGGTTAGGGACCCTCAGCTCCCCGCAGGGCAGGCAGGGGAGCTGCAGGCCTGCCGGACACCCCTGTCCAGGGCCCGCCCCCGGCATCCCCCAGCTCCCAGCCCGTTCACCAGTGGAGACTCTGGGCTCCCGTGGGCTCCTGACGTGGCCTTTCCTTCGTGTTTAGAATGAGGCTGCGTCTGCAGGGCCCGGAGACTCGGCCTTGCTGTGCGTGGTGGGCTGTGGACCGAGGGCCCGTTGCCACTCGGCCCCCCGGCTGGGGCCGAGGTGCTGTCCAGGGATGGACAGCTCTCCAAGCTGCTGCCACCGCTGCAGGTTACTTGGGTGATGGATGTGCTCTGGTGACTCGCCCACCTTGGTCACCTGAGGGTGCCCCCCCACAGGTCCTGGGCGGGCAGGTGGCAGCAGAACTGTCCCCAGCCCAGCTCCCAGGGCAGGCCTCGGTCTCTCAGCCTCGGGTGTGGGGACCTGAGGCCCCAGGGCCACGGCCAGTGTCGGGGGTGTCTGGCCTCTTCTCTGAGGCCCCTGGATCCATGCCCCCCCCCCCGGCCCCATCATGGGGCATCTCCTGAGGGAGCCAAGACCCTCAGCCCCACACGGGGGCCCTGGGCACAGCCTGAGGATCCCGAGAGGCGCACTGTCAGTGCAGAGGGTAGGGACGCCTCCGGTGGAGGGGGTCTGGTTCCTGCCGCCCTGGGCTCCAGTGCCTGCCACTCGCTCCCCCCCAGGGGCACAGGGACAGGCATGAGGGCCACGGAGCTTCAGTCCAGGAGGTTTGGGGGGGGAGGGGCGTCCAGGCCGGGGGCCAGCCCTTGTCGGAGTGGGTCTGGGGGTCCTGTGTCTCAGCTCAGATGGGGTGTGTCTGTGGGAGCGGGCGGCCCACAGGGCCCTGCACCC